ATATATATATAAGTACACATAGACATACATACATACATACATACATATATATATATATATATATATATATATAAGAAAGAAAACATACCATCGCCGTACAAGATGACCTTCATGTGCTGCAGATTTTTGCTGATGTCCTCAACGGCTCTGTCGACCGTTTTCTTGCTGCCTGGATCGGCCTCGAAAGTGATAATTGCATCCCTGGTAGCCTTAACAGTCTCAACAGGAGACTTGGACTTTGATTTAAAGAAATTCATGCTGATTGTCTATGTGCGTCTATGTGTCTATGTGTATACGTACGTGTGTATGTACTTGTTGCTGCTGTTATGCACAACGTATCGGGGGTATGCCTGACCTATTATGAACCTTTCAGTGTTATCAGTGTGCGCTGAGAGTGTCGGCAAATATCCAGTAAATACTTCAATCAGACAATGACATTCCTTTTAAATAGAGCCAAATATGATGGTGGTAAAATAACTTTGCATTTTGGGACGCCATTGTCCAGTTATTTTCATAGAAGGCTTGGATAGATAAACAGAACACTAATTATCTGGTAAACGACACTTTAATGTGTATTAAATCTTCCACTACTGGTGTCTAATATTATTCGGATTGTTCCCTTTTTGGCTGGGCTTTGGTACAGTCTGCCAGTCTTTAACCACATGTCGTTTATCTAATACTGCCCGGTTGAATAATTTACGACGGTAACTACATATTTTACCTGGTCCTTTCAGGAAAAGCCGTTTCCGACCCTTGTAACCAAAAAAAGCAATAATGTCAGGAAACCCCAGGGTTGGGTTTTCGTCTATTTCGTCTGTGTCCATATTTACACAATTGTTGCTCACCTTATAATAAGTATATATGTATGCATATACAGATTAGACCTGTCTTGGTACATAGGCCATCTTTAAGCGCACAGACCGCCCCTCTACAGAGCCGTCTATATCATAGTATTCTAAAGTGAACGTAATACACGAACATAAAACATATTTGAACCACCTGACAGTGTGACATCCCAGTCTCTCAATCGGCCCCTTGTATTACCCGGCGTGTCTGCACGAGGACAACAAACAGCAATAGGCACGATGATGAACGCGTTCTCAATACAATACAAGCCTCGACCAAAACCCGCTCCATCGCAACCCCTTGCACTGGCGAAAAGTAAAAGCTTAGGCGCAGACGGGTATTTAGAATCTAAGAATGATGCGAAGGAAAGTGCCGCGGAAGAGCGTTCAGAGACGGATTCCGAGGTATGTTGGGGTGATGGCATGGTATTGTACTTCGAATTTCGTAA